AAAGCTGAACCCATAGAAACAAAGAGCAGAATGGTGGTCGCCAGGTGCTGGTGGCAGGGGAAATGGGGAAGTGTTGGTCAAAGGGAACAAACTTTCAGTTATGTGATGAATAAGTTCTGTGGACATAACATACAGCCTGGTGACTGTAGTTACCATATAATACTACACACTTGAAATTGTTGAGAGATCTTAAATGTTCTTACTCACCCCCCCAAACCCCCGAACACACACAGACGTGGAAATTCACGAGGTGAAGTGATAGGTGTGTTAACTAACTTGACGTGTTAATCATTTTACAATATGCATATATCAAATTATCACGTTTATACTTTATAAAATTTTGTCAATTATACCTCAAAAAAGCTATAAAACTTTTCAAAAAAAAAGAGGAACTGTGAGGACATGGACATATTAATTTGGTTGACTGTAGTAATCATTTCACTATGTATATGTATATGTATATTAAAGTATATTATATCCCTTAAGTATAGACAAAAAAAAGAACCATTTAACATGAGATAAAAAACCATCGAAGTATGTAGGGCATGGGTACTGGATGGCAGTAGATTCAAGTGTGAACACAGGGAAGGTGTAAGAGGATGCAGAGTGAGGCTGGGCAGGGTGGCTCACACCTGTAATCCCAACACTTTGAGAGGCCAAGGCAGATGGATCACTTGAGGTCAGGAATTCGAGACCAGCCTGGCCAACATGGCAAAATCCCATCTCAACTGAAAATTACAAAATTAACTGAGCGTGGTGGCATGTACCTTTAGTCCCAGCTACTCAGGAGGCTGAGGCAGGAGAATTGCTTGAACCTGGAAGGCAGAGGTTGCAGTGAGCTGAGATCATGCCATTGCACTTCAGCCTGGGTAACAGAATGAGACTCCATCTCAAAAAATAATAACAATAAAAGGATGCAGAGTAGAGTTCGGTGATGAAGGAAATAATAGTGATAGCTAACATTTGTTAAGTGCTTATTTTGTGTCAGGCTTAGTGTCTGACATATAATATCTCATCTAATTTTATGAACCATATACTATTGTCCACTTTTATACATGAGAAACACATTTGGAACTTAAGTGAGTTGCTAAAGATCACAAAACAAATAGGTTGCAAACATGACTCAAACCTAATGTTGACTCAAACCCAGACCCAAGATCTTGACAGACACAGGGGCCAGAGAGGGTAGGGCTGGGAGTTTTCCTCTTTATATGGTTGTAAAATTATAAAAGGAAAGCTTCTTAATGAAATGATAGATTTAGTGTTTTTTTTTTTTTTTCTTTTTAGTTGGAGTCTTGCTCAGCCACCCAGACTGGAGTGTAGTAGTGTGATCTTGGCTCACTGCAACCTCTGCCTCCTGGGTTCAAGTGATTCTTCTGCCTCAGCCTCCCGGGTAGCTGGGACTACAGGTGTGTGCCACCACATCTGGTTAAATTTTCTATTTTTAGTAGAAACGGGGTTTCACCATATTGACCAGGCTAGCCTCAAACTCCTGACCTTGTGATCTGCCTACCTTGGCCTCCCAAAGTCCTGGGATTACAGGCGAGAGCCGCCATACCCAGAAGCTATTTTTTAAAAAATAAAATATATTTTCTGCTCCTCCAGCTACCTCATTACACAAATAAAAATAGCTATCATTTAATCAGCAGATGTGGTGCTAATAATTTACATGCGATATTTTATCTCTGTTGCAGAAGAATTGAGTCTAATAGTGGAGCTACAAAATAAGAAAATTATAGTACAAGGTGGAATGTGAAAAAAATCACGAGTGAGGTAAGTGCAAAGCACCAAGGGAGCTCAGAGGAGTCGGGGGGGGATTATTTCCTACCAGAGAAACTCATTCAGTCAACATTCAAAAAATAATTATCATGTGCCTGTTACATCTTGGTTTCAAGAATCTCACATTCCATTGAGAAAAGTAAGGAAACAAATCATCTCAATAGTGAGATGTCATTTGATAACTGCAATCAAGCCATCAAGGCAGGCTCCTTGGAAGAGGCAGTACATGAACTATAGGTACTGAAGGTTTGGGGGCTTCTGAATAGAACAGGATGGGGACCCCTGATATCTCAAGGGTTGCACCTGGATCTCAATACACAAGCCCCATCCTCTAGAAAAGAGAGAGAAATAAGGAGTTGTTGACTTCACCATTCATTTCTCCTCTGAGGTCCTAATTTTGAAGACTTTAATGGTAACCAGTACTTCTCCTCTGTGCAGCTGGCTTTTCTCCCACTGCAGATTGCACTGCACTTTGCTTAAGTCCATTCGGTTTGTGACCTCCTCTCCAATTTACCAATTCTGATTCACATGCTCCATCTTTCTCCCACAGAGAAGAAACAGCTGGCTTTTGGACTTCCAAACCTCCTGGAAAAAAGCCAAGCCACCATAAACTCCAGAATATGATTGTGTGAATTAAAATGTTCACATGATATCAACCATGCAGTTGCTCCAAAGTTTATTTTGGAAAATATTACATTTGGAAAATGGGAAGCATTCCAGAGCATTCCCTTACCTTGAAATATCAGTAGACACAAGGGTATTTTGAGATCATTTCTTGCACAAAAGTTAGCAAATAATCTGTACAATTAGACACGTAAAATTGCCTTAAATAACATTAGTTAAGGACTCTGGGGCTTAAAATTTTCTATAGAGTATTTGTTGAGAAATTTGGGACAAAAGGCTATAATTTTTAACTCACTGAAGCAAACTCAAAATGCCTTTGAGTTGACTCCCAGTTGGCTTTTATTGCACATTTTACTTCCAATCACTGATGATTAGACCTAACTCAGTTTCATGTTTCCCAAAATCTCACATGCTTCAAACTCTTTCCCTCTGGCTATAAGAGGCAAAAGAGTCTAGAATCCTAGGGAGAACTGCATCTCAACCCTAACAGCCCAGGCATCCAAGGGCCCACGGGGCCTATACATTTCTCCTCTACTTTCTTCTTCCATTCTTTTCTTCTCAGATTGGTTTTGGAGTGCTAAGGCCACAAAAGGAGGGGTTCTACAAGGTCACATGTCCCAGGGAGATCTTATTGATGCACCTCTTTCTTTAATGCATCTCAATTCCCAGTGCCTCTGGTATGTTTGCAGTGGCTGCAATACAAATGAGATTGGAGGGCCTTGAGAAAAAAAGACCTAGAATGATAAACAGGTTACGGTCCTTGTATATTTATTCTGGCTTTGAAATTTGCAAAGGCCTGAAACTCAATGTTGTCTATTATCTCATTTCTGAAAAAGAAAACCCAGTGTGTGTGTGTGTGTGTGTGTGTGTGTGTGTATAAATGCATAAAGAAAATGGTTACCTCTGGGAAAGAAAATGTAATTAGACAAAAGTAAAGGTAGACTATTAGCATTCATGTAGTGTGCGAGTAATTAAACATAAAGAAAAAATGGTTAAAATAAAATGAAAAAGTCTTAAAAATGACTAAATGAAATTCTGTGTACTAATACAGAAAGCCTCTCAAAGAAATGCCAAGTTAAAAATACCAAGTTTAAAAGTGACATCGTAAGTTCAATTTGGGGGAAAAATGTCAAATATATCTGCATACAATGGATAGTATATGCATAGAAAAAATTATTAAGAATACACAGGAAATTATAACTGTAGTTACTCCTGGGTGATGAAATTAAAGAAAAAATTAACTTTCTACACTGTATAGTCTCTATAATATCCGAATTTTTAATATTAGTATATAATAATTTTTCTAACAAACTAATTGGCTGACATAGTATTATGCCCTTGTTTACTTGATATTGCCCTGAAAAGACTTACTGGTTAAGTCTCAAAAAAAAAAAATAGTATATGGGAAGATGTGTATAGATTATATGCAAACACTATGCTATCTTTTGCAGGGGACTTGGACATCTGTGGATCTTAGTATCCCTGGGGTGTCCTGCAACTAATTTTCCAAAGATGCAGAGGGATGATTGTGTGTGTGTACCCCATTAGTTCTAACAACTTGAAGTGTTGGAAACAGCAATACCCAAGTAGCAAGGGACATACCTAGCATTTTTATTTCTATATACTGTTCTTCACTAAAAAGAATCAGAGTTTTCTGCAGAATTGGCTGATTCTAGGATTAGGGCAGTGAAAGTAAAAAATGAGCTTTGACATCCTGTCCTAAAAAAGTGTTCAAATGATAATAAAGTACATGTCTAAGGAGCACAGGAGGCAGCTTAGAGGAGTTTCCCCTGGTCATAGCTGGGGCAATTTGAACATCAAAATGATTAATGATAATAATGGAATTATAACCCCCTGAATAAAATAGGAATACTTGTGTATACACTAAAGTTATTAAGTGAATAAATTGAAATTTGATGAAGAACAGGATAGTTGCATAGTCTTAAGTTTCTTCCCTGTAAAAAATTATAATTATAGAGAGAAAAACAGTGACTCTATATAAGACAGCAAATACCATCTTAATCAAGTGACCAAAGTGCCCATTACTAGTAATGGGACGAATCAACACCATCCGAGAGGATGCAATGAGAAGACCTGGCATCACTTCTATGTTATTCCTTTCAGAGATGCATAACAGAATCCCATCATGAGGAAACTTATCAAATTAAGTGTCATTCTAAAAATGGCATGTAGCTGGGCGCAGTGGCTCATGCCTGTAATCACAGCACTTTGGGAGGCTGAGGCGGGCTGATCACCTGAGGTCAGGAGTTCAAGACCAGCCGGGCCAGTTGAATTCAAGTGATTCTCCTGCTTCAGCCTCCTGAGTAGCTGGGATTACAGGTGCACACCACTGAAAGCATGGATATTTTTATTTATAATAAGTAGCTCTTAAAATCAGAAAAGTTTGAGAGACAGTAATTCATCAAGAAGGTCACTGAATCTTTTGTCCAAGGCATGCAAGAAGGGTTTGGTGATTAGAATCAAAATAGTGAATTATATCTGTGCACTGAGGAAGGAGAGGTGGCTAGAGCAGAGTCAGAGGACAAATATGGCATTCTCTTCCAAAAACCCCTTCATAGCTGGTCTGCTGAATTTTCACTCATGTCCTTGGCAGCTCTATGGAACGTAAACCAAGGGGTACAACTGATCATTTTAAGGTCATTTCAGTTGTTACCATCTACTCAGGAATAAAAAATGGCTAATTTTCTTGGTTAAGTTCCTTTTTTTTTTTTTTTTTTTTTGAGATGGAGTCTCACTCTGTTGCCAGGCTGGAGTGTGATGATGCGATCTCGGCTCACTGCAACCTCCACCTCCCGGGTTCAAGCGATTCTTCTGCTTCAGCCTCTCAAGTAGCTGGGATTACAGGTGTGCGCCACCACGCCCAGCTAATTTTATATTTTTAGTAGAGACAGGTTTCATCTTGTTGGTCAGACTGGTCTCGAACTCCTGATCTCAGATGATCCGCCCGCCTCAGCCTCCCAAACTGTTGGGATTACAGTATAAGCCACTGTGCACCATGCCTGGTGGTTAAGTTTCTTAAACCCTCCAAGTCTCAATTTTTTCATTCATAAAATGATTTGTTATGTGAATTAGGGGCAAATGCTAATTAACATAGGAAAACACCTAAAACAGTGTCTAATTCAATACAATGATAATTATTATTGATACTTTTATAATCATTATTGTTCTTTCTCCAATTGTCCAATTGGTGACTCTTTTTTTTTTTTTTTTTTTTTTTTTTGAGATGGAGTCTGGCTCTGTCACCCAGTGCAGTGGAGCAATCTTGGGTCACTGCAACCTCTGCTTCCCAGGTTCAAGCGATTCTGCTGCCTCAGCCTCCCGAGAAGGTGGGACTACAGGTATGCACTACTATGCTGGCTAATATTTTGTAGTTTTAGTAGAGACAGGGTTTCAACGTATTGGCCGGGCTGATCTCGAATTCCTGACCTTGGATGATCCACCTGCCTCGGCCTCCCAAAGTGCTAAGTTTTCGGGCATGAGCCATAGCAGCTGGCCTCTTCTTACCTTTTTCTGTTGCTGTTTGTTTTCAAAACCCCTTCTAAATGCATTGTCTTCTTGTGTTATCAATTCTCATCAGCTTCTAATCATCAATCACTTTATGGTAAAGATACAAAACATCTAAATGAAAATAATTTTTAAATTCAATTATACTTTCCCATTTTACAAAAAAAGTGTTATACACATGTGTGCCTTCTGTGATTGGTACTGGGATAGAACTTGGATTTTGTCTTTACCTGGAATGCAGAGATGATTATTGAAATGCAGGCTCCAGGGAGCTCCTAGTCCAGTGGAAATGATAGATAGCAGATATTGCCAAGTACATGTTCAGAGATGTCTGAAACTGCCTTTCTTTCTCCTTGGTGTGTGGGAGACTGTCGTATTCCCTTATTAAGTATGGCATTTAGGCAGAAAACTTCAATTGGAAGTAAAACCCCCTGATTTCTGAAGAGAAGTCAGAGGGTAGCTCCTGCCTGCCTTCCCAGCTAATTGCCTTCTATTACGATGGTGAGGGGTTACAGGACAGGGAAAGTAGACAGGTAACTAAACTTGAGGATGAGGCAGAGGGGCAGAGAATGCCAGGAAGTAAAGAAAAGGAAGCAGTGTAATTAAAAGAGGCAGTTGGGTGATGCTTGTTGGCAGGACTAAGCAGAATGGCTGAGGGTCCAGGCTCTGGAATCAAAATGCTTAGGTTCATATCCAGCTCCTTTACCTGTGACGTCTTTGACCCTAGACAGTCCTCTTGATCATGAGTGTCCCTGTTTTTCTCATCTGTTAAATTGGGGTCATAAATTATCATCTTCATAGGATTGTTGTGAGAATTAAATGAGATAATAGATATAGAACAGACAGAACCTGGGACACAGTAAATGCTTAATAAATACTGGCCCACCTTATGTTGGTGGAAGATGCCTAGGGTGATGCTTGTTGTCTTGGGCATAGTTAACCATGTAAGGCTGCCTGCTGGGAGGACCTGTGTGACTCAGCCACTTGAGGGACACAGACAACAAGCTGCTTGTATGGCTCTTTGCCTTTCACCTCCAAGAGAGCAGGAGAGTTGCTTGCCTTGCTTCTTGCTCTACCCACAGCAGCTAGAATAGTGTCACTCACTGTGTAGATAGTTAGTAGATAGTCATTGAATTAATGATATATGAATGCATACTTAGAATGTGTTTTAAGGCTTTATTCACCAGGAAAACTCCTACTATTTCTTCAAGGCATAATTCAAACTCTTTGGACTCCTCTGGTCTAATCCTCCAGAACTCCAAAATAGTTAGGCACTTCTGCCTCTGCCTTTATTTACTCATGTATCTTACATTATACTTCTATTTTAATTTCCATATATATCTTCCCTATTAGACAGGAGAAATCACAGAGGCATGGACTGTCTTTTAACCTTTGGCACAAGGATGCCTTGCAAGGGATTAAACATAAGTTTTGTCTCCTCTGCTTTGGGAAGCTTTGGGCTTGAATTACTGAGACACAAAAGCTAATTGCCTCTCAGGAGGTGATAGATGGGAATCCTGGAATTTGGAGTTTGAGATTCATGGCAAACTTTCTAAATCCTATTGCCAAGGGAGGACCCTTTGTGTCTAAGGGTCAACAGAAAACTGCTGCCAGGAGAGGTGGCCCTGGAGACCACCTAGATAGTCACTTTAGCTGAGGGCATGAAAGGCCTTTTGTCTGTGAGATGTATGAATATAGTAGTTCTGTATTTTTACAGTTGAAATGGAAAGTGGACTGGCCTCTGGTTTTTCAGTCTGTGAGATGCTAACACTTCAGCCAGTCTGAGTGAAGGTGGATTGATGGTGGAGATTGAAGGGGAATGGTTTTATGTGATGCGAAGGACTGAGCACTAAACGCTGCAGGCTGGGAGATCCAGCAAGGGACATTCTCTGTTGATCATGGCATCAAAAGAATGGAGTCTCTCATGAAGACACCTTCCATCAAAATACCACTCTAGATGGTGCAATAAACTGGGTCAGCAGCAGTGTCTGACAGTGAGCTGCTACAGGGCCTGGCTGACAGTGGAAGGCCAACTTTCAACAGCACACCATGAGGCATGCAGAAATAGTAGTGGGTGCTTGGATATGAGAACTTACCTTAACTTGAAGCAAAAGTCAATGGACCTCTCATTTGGAATGTGTACACACTCCAGGGCTCTCAGAAGATCTAGAAGAAGGGAAAGGGGTCCCAAGAAAGAGACAACAGTTTCCCCAGAAACCTGACATGAGGAGACTCAAGTCATTTTTCATCTAAGTAGGAAAATTGAATATGCTGTCATAATTCTACCTTGATCATTGAGGAGTTGACACCAGCTACCAGCTACACGTCAGTGGATATACTTTGGTTTCTATCATACTGCTTGGCACATGATGGGGTTCATTACATGATTATAGCACTAATAAATGGATAAACGGAATGTGAATATAAAATAATAAGACTTCCACAGATTCAGCTGGGAAGCCATTTTTTTTTTTTTTATTCTGCAAACTCATGTTAAATAGGTTACTAAGTGGTGAAACCCTGTCACTACTAAAAATACAAAACATTAGCTGGGCATGGTGGCGCGTGCCTGTAATCCCAGCTACTCAGGAGGTTGAGGCAGGAGAATTGCCTGAACCCAGGAGGCAGAGGTTGCGGTGAGCCGAGATTGCGCCATTGTACTCCAGCCTGGGTAACAGGAGCGAAACTCCATCTCAGAAAAAAAAAAAGCTTACTAAAATACAAAGATTGTGTTTATGGTGTGCTCCATATACACATAGCCAGTCTACCTGGATGCACCAGACTGTGATTAAAGATGAGGTCAGATTTACCTTGTAATGTCCAAATTGCTGTGGCTCAAACTTTGATCTCATCTAATGACAGAAAGTCCTGTCTTTTATGAGGCTTCTCTCCACAAGTAGGTCTTTTCACCTTCTATGTTCCACAAACCCATACTGTCCTAACCACCCCGATGGTGGCAGATTGCTCATCATAGCTCCACCACTGTCACCCCTCATCTCCCACAACCCCAGGACTGATGCCACTGCAGCCATGCTGGCCTCAGGGAGAGAAAGGCTTTGCTTCCCTTTACTGGATGACATGGGGGTAGACATAGACCCTTTAATTTCCCACAGCATGACGAACACCAAACTGCAAAATGCTTAGGGATATGAGAAAGGAATTATTAAACTGACAAACAAAAATGCCTACTAATTCTGAATGTTCTAAGAGTCCACAAGCCAGAGCATAGGCTGCTTTGGGCTCTTAGAATGGCAGTCCCCAACCGTTTTAGTATCAGGGACCAGTTTTGAAGAAGACAGTTTTTCCATGAATGGTAGTGGGAGATGGTTTTGGGATGAAACTGTTCCACCTCAGATTATCAGGCATTAGTTAGATTCTCATAAGGGTCACACAACCTAGATCCCTCTCACGCACAGTTCACAGTGGGCTCCATGCTCCTATGCTGCTGCTGATCTGACAGGTGGTGGAGCTCAGGAGGTAATGCTTACTTGCCTGCCACTTACCTCCTGCTGTATGGCCCAGTTCCTAACAGGCCACGAATTGCTACTGATCTGTAGCCCAGGTGTTGGGGACCTCTGTCTTGTGAGTGCCTCCCTGTTCTCAAGATTGGGCCTTCTGGCAAGGTTTGTTTATCTTTTCCCTTTAGTGACAACCTCCAGCAATCTGCTCTGCTGAAAGTCCAGGCCCCAATGTCCAGGAACCCAAGAGAAGGCCACATTTCTCCCTCTGTCTCTTGGGTCTCAGGCCTGCCTCCCCTATCCTCTTTTCCTGTTTACTTCCTGTGGGTAAACTCCAGCCCTTCCCCTTCATGGGGTTAGGCATCTTCCTATGGCCTCTGTGACATCATCATATAAAAGTAAAATATCCAGTGGGACGTGTGAATATTAATGTGTATGAGAGAATAGCAGGCTAGTCTTTTAGCGTTAAACCTAGTCTAGTCCCATTCTTTTTACAACATTTTATCCAGCATGAACTCAAAATCAGAACCACAGTTTCTCTGCAGTCCTAAAGTCTTCTCTCCCAGTCTCCCGTGAGAAGCTGTTTAAACGAGAAGCATGAGCATTTCTATTTTAATAAACAATACCATACAGGCTAGGGTAGTCTACACCCACACTTTAAAGGAAGTATTTCTCCAAAGGCATAGTAAACTGCTGATATGTAGCTTTGCCCATAACAAAGACAATATTTGTATTATTAGGCAGAAAAGCTTAGTTCTCTAGAGATATAGCTGTCAAAATCCCATTCCTGAAAAGGGTCTGGCTTAATATAAGCATATCTAACCTTGTCCATTTAGATAATTATCCCCAAACTAAGGATTAATCTGCCTCAACATGAATGAAAATTTCCACCTGCTGCAAAAACTACTTGAAGATCTGAGATTACAACATTAAGCCACCATCCCCACTCCAGCCTTCACAGATCTCAGGACCATTTTTCATCAGGGCTCTGGTTTCAAGTATTGTGTGACTGCCTCCCCGCAGTGGTCTCTGCTTTTCTTAAGGGTATCATTCACAAAGGGGAATCTAGCCCTAAGAAGAGAGCAGAAGGGAAACTGCTGCCTCTTTCCAGGGGACATGGCCTTTTCCCTTTTCCATGGCCACATAAATATGGAACTAATTTTGATTTCTTTTTCTTGAAACTTAGATACCTGGCTTGTCAACAGTAATTCAAAAATAATTTTATAAAGGTTTAAGAATTAGAGTTAGTCAAATAGTGAAATTGAGATTCTTTAGAGATTCAATTTTTGTAATCCTAAGTCATACAGAACTAAATGAATTTAGGGGTATGGATTTTAATGGGTTTAGGTTGTAGAGACTTAACTCAGATACATTGAAACAAAAGGTGAGTTTTCTCAATCAGTTTCTGAATAGACTTTAAGGTTTTATAATGAACAACAGCTGGCAAGTGCTTACGTGTCTATTTCCATTTATTTTGGCCAGTAGCCCAAACAATGAAAATAGAGATTTTCCAATCATAGACTTAAACATCATCAATGGGGAATGCCATTTTAAATTTAAAAACACAACTAGGTATGCAGTATTCAGAAATCAGTCAAAGAACTTTCTATTTTCTTGCCTTCAGTTCTATTCATTCAAGTTTTTAATGCCTATCACGTACCAGGCATTGTGCTAGGTCCTGAAGTAGATAGCAATACAGATAAGCAAAGCTGCCATGCCCTTACCCCCTGGTTGGGGAATAGAGGTGAGTGGGGGTGACAGAATACACCGTTAACTAAAATATTAAAATAAAAAACCTGTTCTCAGTTGATAACAGAGGGGCGGGCCATGTTCAGAAAAGACAATTAGCTCTACCCAAAAGGCTTCATAGAGAAGTTGCATTTCAGTTGGAAATAGAAGGTAAATAGAAGGTCACCAAAAGAAGGGGAGAGAAATTAAGTATTTGTTTGTTGTTTATCTTTGTTACTGGACTGACTATAAGTTCTGTGTGGGTAGGGACTGGATCTTGCTCAATGTTGTATATGGCTCCTCTTTTGATTTGGACTATGACTTTCATGGGATTATTATGACAGGATGTACAGTTACCCAGCACATGTTCCTCTTCCATCTCCTATTGCTCAGGCTGTAGTGCCCTCAAAATGCCACTGTGTATCAGGAAACACCTCAAGAAGAGGCAAAAGTGGCTTCAATTCTAAGAGTGAATAGTGGGGATCTTCCAAGTCTGGTAAGTTGAAAGGAGATGGTCTTCAGGCCGTTAAGAAGGAATTGACCCAAATAAAACCAAAGGTGGATTCTCTCCTGGAAAACCTGGAAAAAACTGAAAAGGAACAGAGCAAACAAGCAGTAGAGTTGAAGAATAATTCAGAAGAGGAGTAGAGCAGCAGTTCCGTGAAGAGAGATGAGACTAATGTGAAGATGGAGTCTGAGGGGGGTGCAGATGATGCTCCTGAAAGGGGAACCTATTAGATGATGATGATATTGAAGATCGGGTGGGGATGAACAGCTGGAGTTGATCAAGGATGATGAAAAAGAGGCTGAGGGAGGAGAGGATGACAGACAGCGCCAATGGTGAGGTTGACTCTTAAGCACATGGTGGGGTTTAGAAGTCTTATGCCATTGTTTATTTACCTAGGTGCTTGTCTAAGACCAAAATTTTCACCAGATTCTCTCCCCTAGTAACTTCAGGACATGCTCACTGTTCTCCCAGTCCTTGTCCTTGTTATGTTCGTTAATTCATACTGCCTGTGCCTAGTCCCTTTTTCACTTCCTTTGATGCCCCCAGTAGTTTTGTTGTTACTGTGTAATTTTTGCTTTTAATTTTGAAACCTCTTTATAACTTAACAATAAAAAGGATGTATGGGTTTTGTCAACTATCCCCAAAATAATCTTTTGTTATGCAGGGAGTATAGTTCTTTTTATTCATATGTAAGTTCAGTAGATATTTCCCTAATTGCAAAGACAATCTGAATTAGTTGAGTAGCTCCTGAAAGCAGCTTTGAGTTAGAAATATGTGTGTTACATCCCCATATAAGTGTGCTGTGTGGGGCAGTTCAACACGAATGTAACCATGTATTTTTATGAATGAGAGTTGTCATGTCAAATGTATCCTTCAGAATAATAATTAGTGCTATAGTCTTATTATTTGTTTTCTAAAGTTGATACTGTGGGTTATTTTTGTGAACAGCCTGATGTTTGGGACGCTTTTTCCTCAAAATAAAGAAATTCTTATTAAGCCAGGAATTTGGAGGAAAAAAATTCACTCAAAACCATAAAATTACATGGAAATTGAATAACCTGCTCCTGAATGACTTTTGGGTAAATAATGAAATTAAAGCCAAAGTCAAGAAGTTCTTTGAAACTAATGAGAACAAAGATACAACATAGTAGAATCTCTGGGACACAGCTAAAGCAATGTTAAGAGAGAAATTTATAGCACTATATGCCCACATCAAAAAGTTAAGCAGATCTCAACTTAACAACCTAACATCACAACTCAAAGAAGTAGGGAACTAAAAACAAACAAATCCCAAAACTAGCAGAAGACAAGAAATAACCAAAATCAGAGCTGAACTGAAGGAGATTGAGACTCAAAAAAGCATTCAAAAACAATAAATCCAGGAGTTGGTTTTTTGAAAAAAATTAATATAGATTGCTAGCTAGACTAATGAAGAAAAGAGAGAAGATTAATGAGATACAAACAACCATCAGAGAATGTTATGAACACCTCTGAGGGAAAATTTACTTGAATTCTTTTT